ACCTAGTGTACTCCCAGGAAGTTTCTAGAAGACCTGTGCTGATGATGAGGATAGATAATTTATGAGCCTGATTTTTAGCTCCAGAAAATTGGTGCTAAAAATAAATATTTAGCCTTTCACATGCTCTCCCTTGAGGACTCTCATGGTGTTAAGCTGTGTCTGGTCCTTGCACAGCTTTTCTTGGTGAGAGGGCCTAGGGAAAACTATAAAGTTCCACTTTCTGCCCCTTTCATTCCAGTGGATGACCAGGAATTGCAGTCTCTGTGCTCCCTAAAGCAAGGGATTACATTTGGTTATACATTGATGGCTTCTTGGACCTCAAGACCAACCTGTAAAAAGAGACAATGTTGGAGGAGGAAGGGTAGGCAGAAATGTGGCTGCGCCCTAGTCTTTCTGCAGCTATCTAAGGGTCACAACAGGGAGCACATCCAAAGCTCCTAACCCTACGGTGCTCCCAGGGCTGCCCTTGCAGCAATGCCTCTAAGAAAGCTGCCTATGCTTTTCTAATGTGTTCTACCAGTGGATAGACTACTTCAGATGAACTTCCTTTGACATAGGTATTTATATAGGAAATACTCAATTTTTGCTTCTCGTATTATGAAATTGATGGAAGGCTTGGTTGGACCATGCTGCCTGACTCTGTGGTGGTATGTAATTATGTCCACAAGGTACTGGTGCCACAGCTGCTCTCAAAACATTTGCTTTTTGCAGCTATTGTTGCCTGGAAGAGGGAGCGTGGTCTTGACAAAGCCTTCTCCACAAGCAGCGATTCACAAGGCAATGAGCCACAGGGAAGGTTAGTCTAAAAACTCAAGGTGTGCAAAAAAGATGGCACTAATGTTTATCTCCCTGCTATAGGAATGGCGCTCATAATAGCCATCTGTGGAAAATGGAGATACTCCAGCTTGTGGAAGGCACCACAACAGCTCTCTGCTGAATTAATCACAGGCTGTTTGAGGCCTTCACCTTGCATGTGGGATACATTTCATGTCTCTGAGATATTCAGTGCTGAAAGCTGTGTGCTGAGATACTGTGGACTTCTTTCTCTGCGCAGCAGTCGTGAACCTTTCTCATTCGTTTTTTAATCACGGGGGATTATTTTCAGAATAACAGGGTCTGAAATTTAAATGTGTACAGGTTTTAACCAGGCTGATGTTTCTGAAGTCTTTTACGCTTTCTGATGTTAAGAGATTAGTTTGAGACAAGATCTTTTGATCCTCATAAAGGTTTAATGTTATTTTGTAGCTAAGCTGTTAATAATTGGCTTGAGATTTTATAGATATACATACATGGTTTCCACTGAGGTTTTAAGCTAAAGAGTGATTTCTCATACCCTTCATATCCCAGTCCAGATGTTCAAGTCCTATTTCCCTACGTTCCAACAGATGGATGCCAAAAATCTAGGGAAATTTACAGTGTTTCTCAATATAGTATATATATAATATACTGTATTATTGAGCTGGGAGGTAAAAGAGTGAAGACTATTGCCCCAATTTCTTCAGCTATTTTCCTCACTAGCAACAGAAAGTACTTCATTCTTAAACTCTAATGGTGAGAGTTCTCCAAGGGAGCATTATTTTTTTTCGTCTCCCAGGCCAACTATAATGCAGCTGACTAACACTAAGTCCCTCCTGATTAATTTAATGGTAGCTAAATAGTGCAGAAATAGTGAGAAGCCACCAATTCTTCTCCTGATAACACTGCTTTCCTGATGTCTGCAGTAATCAGCAGCATGCTGTCCAACTTATAAAAGTCTCTAAATTAAACAAGCATTTCAGTTTTCCTTTCTGACTAATAATTTTCCTTTTCTTCCCCCCCCTCCCCCCCCCAATCCAGTAATTTCAGTGCTAGACTTTCAGAACTGCCTGTTATTTGCATATGTGGAAAGCAACATGATCTAAAGAACGATAATACAATACAAATATATAGATGGATCTAGAAAAGATGTTTTGAGTTAAAGAGCCAAGAAATGTATGATATTTGCAATATGTAAGGTAGCACTAACTTTAATGATACTGTTCAAATTTATTGCTATGCACATGCTTTTCTGGATCAGGGTGTCTAACTCATAATGTTGTCATGACAGACTAAAGCCTTAATTTCCTTAAATCTGAAAAAAATCTGTAAATGTTTTACACCAGAAACCATAACTATGAATCTCCTGACCTTTGAGCTTGTTACTTATCATACATCTCTTCACCCCCATGAAGTGCAGAATTTTTGTTTATTTCTTCAAAAAGTGATGGGAGAAACCACCACAGTTCCAGTTTCAGCAGCTTAAGTTTTCAGGTTTTTCTCTGCACCATCCACAACTTGTCTATATCTGAACAAATAGACAAATTGGAGATGATGCAAAGAAAAGCCACAAAAATGATACAGAGGTTTAGAAAACATGACCTGGGAGGAAACGCTAAGAGAATTGAATTTATTTCATTTAGGGAAGACTGAGGACATATGCTAAGAGGTTGCAAGTACAGAGAGAATAGAGTGCTTAATTGCTCTTCATGTCAAATAAGGATACAAAAAATAAAAAGTTGTGGGCTATTTTGCAGCATAGAAGATGTGGAAAAACTATATCAGCATGCAGATATAGATGAGAAGTCCCTCTTACTGGTGAGTGTTAGAAACAGAGTACAGAAGTGTCTTTCAGGAATACTCTGGTTTTTGCTTTTGAGGAGAGCTGGATTAAGATTGCTGAGAAGCCCCAGCCCTACAATTCTCTGATTTCCCAATCTCTCGTCCGCAATCCCAGGAAGGAATTCTTTAATCTCTGCTTATTCTTTCACCGGGATGTCTATTAGCTAGCCTTTCCATTTCCTCCTAGGAGCAGAAAAGTACTTTCCTCTCAAGTGACAAATGCTTTTGTTCCCATCAAAGCACATTTCTGAATGGGAGAGGGGAAGCCTAAAAAGGATGAGGCTTTCTGATTTTACTCACTGCTATAATATTTATAGTTTTAAAATAAAATGCCTTCAGTATTGTAGGAAAAAAAAATAGGAAGAGGGTATTTGCTTGTCAACTGCAAACCTCTAAGGTTTTACAAATGCTTTTGAATTAAGTTTGGCAGTACAGCACTGAAATAAATATAGTTGGACCCTTTTTCAGGATGTCAAGTGCATAGCTGAAGTGATTGGGGTCAGAGGGAAGATAAAACATTAGGGAGAGTCCAGAGAATCCAGCTTGCAACTCCTCTATTCTAATCACCAACCGTGTTCCTGTGAAGTGGAAAGTGTCTCTCTCTTTTTTTTTTTTTTTTTTTTTTTTTAATTTTATTTGAGAAGCAGACACTGGCCTTTAAAATCTTTACAGCTACTAAGAATGTTTTTTTGCATCAGGTATCATGGAAAAAGTCAAGCCCTCATCTGCACAGTAAATGTTTAGCACTGGGTTAATTGTGAGGATATAGGGCATCTTTCAAGGTTTATAAGATAGCTATGCTCTTGGAGATACTGTTTTCAAAATGCTCTAATGCCACCTCTTTGAAAGCAGCCTTTGGCTGCAGAGTGCTACTATTTAACAGGTTTAACATGACTAAAAATTGAGACGCTGCTGCCATTATTAAATTTCATTCTGCACACAAGCAAACAGTTTATCATAGTCTGTTCCCAGCAATTGTAATCCAATTTTTGTTATCTTACATTGTTTAAAAAAAAAAAGAGAGAGAGAGAGAGAGAAAGATACCGTACATCAATCTGATAAAAATGTTTAAATAACTGGTGCTTTTTTGTGATTATGTCAGTTTTATAGCAGCATTATGGAAACACGACAGGGTAACTAAAATCTGATTACGTCTAAGTCCTTGCCCATTATGTGATTATTATGAACCATGACTTCTACTGGCACATTATGAATTACATGGTCATAATACAAGGGATTTCCAATATAATTAACTGAGATTAGCAGCACTAGAGAAATCTGGGAATAATGATACAAGTTTGAACAATCAGTTTTACTGTAAATGCTGCTAGCTCTGGCTTCCAGGAAACAGGAGGCTGGTGGATGTAGCCGTGACCCACCTGCTGGGGTTTCCTACACCTCCTTTCTCTTCCCTCCCCCTGTGAAATTAAATGCAACCTTGCCAGAGTGTTAGGAACTCCCTCTTTTACTCTTTTTTTCTCATGTTATACTGATAAAGCTCAAGGCTGGCTAAGATTTTCAAAAACGTCAAAGGTCTTTTGGGGAGCTCAGCCTGAAACCGGAAAGGGCTCTGCTTTTGAAAGCATGGAAATGTCTCCTTATTGAAGAACAGATCCATTTAAGACAGCTCGAGTTTGAGCACATAAAGGCAGAAAGTCATGAAAATCACAGATTAGTTTCAAAGATCATAGCCAAGGCCATATTATTTTAGTGTATCAGGCAGGCAAGAGGTCTTTCTCTCCACAAAACCCCAGCTGCAGAAAGCTGTGTCCAGAGGGGCTGCTCACAACTGGACCCGTCCTTTCTCATGCAGCAAAAAAAAGATTTCTACATGGATCTAGAGGCCATCTTCTGGCTTAGAGAAAAAGGGGAAATGGAGTGCGTGATGGAAGTGCTGAAGGGAGAAAAAGAGACTAAAATGGACCTTCTGTTTTACCAAAGAATTGAACATTTTACCCAGTAGTACACGAACAGGCTGGGGTAGAGTGGGAACTCCCCTGATTATTGAGATATCATTTGTCCCTGGTAGAGCTGGGATTAAAAAGAGGGGGTCTTTTTTTTTGTTTTTTTTTTCTTCTCTATGGGTCTTAAATGTCCTCTATACATAAGTACAATTGAAGACGTAGAGAAAAATACAAAATCACTTGAGATTTTTTTAGTTCAGGCCAGTGCCGCCCTCCTCCTATGACTTATTTATAGCTCTTAATTTTCAGATTTCACGTGAAATTGCATCTCAGGATTTTAATGAAACCATACACATCCCAGGTTTGTGCTCCTTCTTTGCTTTGATATTATTACACCCGGTCAGTACAGTGACAGCCTTTCATTTACTGTGCTATAGTGATCGTACTTTAACCTCATACCTCCAGTGCTTTTGAGAGCTGCTCCGTCGCTGCTGTGTAGTTTTTCTGCCTGTAGCAAGCGCTGGTTTCCCGGAGGGTCATCTGGAGCTGTTTGTCAATCTGGCGCAAAGCGCTGCCGTTAGGTGTGCTCAGAGCATCTGCTTTTCCAGAATCACGACACGCTGATTGTGTGCTTGTAGACACCAGAGGCTCAGTGAACTCAAAGTAGATGTCGTCTTCATCAGCGTAGACCAACTCCGCTTCTATGTCCATTAGGCTTTTCAGAGGAATGTGAGACAGAGGCGTCAGGATTAACTGATTGCCAGTCTCCAGTGTTGTTTCTTCTTTTTTAACAGCTGTTTTTTCATTGTTTTCTGATTTCCGTTTATGGTTTGCTCTGCCTACATTGTTACTCTGTTTTTCCTTCATTTCCTCTGCCATTTTTATTGTCCTCATTGTATTTTCTTCTGCTCTATCTCTGGAGTGGTTTTTGACCTCTTGCAGCGCTTCTGGAATATCATTCAATTTGCTTGCTGCTACATTTGACTCCTCACTCCTGCGCATTTGCTGAGAGGTCTCATTCTTGCCATCCATGCTTATGAGCTTTTTTTGGAAGTCAACATTGCTTTCTGATGCCATAACTTGAGCGAAGAAAGAGTCCTAGGAGACAATGTAGAAATGTTAAGAAAACTCAAACGTTGCAAAGCCAAAAAAAGCATGCAAATGCTTTCTCCACTAGGCATATTGTAGACACCATTATGAGAAAAAAATCTTCAATAGTTAGTGCACAGAATATCAGACTCGCTGTAATTACTCTCTTTCCTGTGTAAATATTTAAGGCATCTTAAATATTTTTGATAGCTCTTGATAATGGATGTTTGTTGACGTAAAGCAATGCCAGTGTATGAGTTTGTTATATCTGCATCGAGAAGGGAAAATCTGGCTTTTGATCACAAGAAAAATGACCAAACCCCTGTAACTGATTGACACATATTGTATATGTTGTTACAGGGTGCAAAAAATCACTGCGGCCTGATTTTCGAGAGCTGATAAGCACAGTGACTGAGGTCAGAGAGGGGTGTTCAAAAATCAGGCGGAGTGGATGCACAAGCTCCAAGTCGGGTCCCAGCTTCAGCTGCATTTGAGCAAAATTCAGGTCTGGATTTGGGTTTCAAAGCCAGTTCTTATTGAACCACCTGCAAAGGACATGAGTGTTGGTACTAAGAAGCAACCCTCCCCCAGTACTGAACAACCTAATTGTCAGTTCAGGGAACCGGTGGTGGATTCAAACTGGTACAACAAGGTGCAGAATCTAGTTCGTAAGCCGCCTCTCAACACGAGTTCCTGTACAATAGGAAGGGTGACTTGATCTGCATTGTAAACTCATAATTGTGCTCAGATTCAAAGGAAATGTTGATTTTTGTCTGCTCCTGCTGACTTCAGAGCGGAAAGGTGGAAGGCACAGGTAATTTTCTTCTCAGTTTTTCCATCAATTATGAAAAGTTTAGTTGTAAATAGCTTTAATGATGATCATCTTTCAGAATGGTTTGTTAAGCAGAAGCACTCAGCCTTTAACCTCCATACGTTTAGCACCAGTTTAATGTGCTTAACTACAGGTACAGATTGTACAAAGGAAAAGTGCGTAATATATGCGTCCCTGTTCGGTCAGAAACAGATTTTAAACAATAAGCAACTTGTTGAGTTTTAGTGAGGGCCCTACAGAACACGCTACTGCACAAATAAAAGCTGCTGGAGTGTGACCTGGATGCCGTGGTGTGGTGATCCTCTACTGTTTAGGGCCGTGGGCATTAGGCAATGGGCAGAAATTTATAGAAAGCGGTAACGGGAAGAGGCGAAAGCGTTTTAGGCCATACGAGAAGCCGATACTGAATTTTAACGTAAACAGGGTTTCAATTCTTTGCCATGTTTTCCCCCCCTTCCCTGGCTAAGCCAGGTTGCAGCCAAGACTGTGACCAGCCCTGAAGCAGGGAACTTGTGGATTTTGACATTTGTTCACAACCTCCAGGCTGAAAACTTTACTGTAGCAGAACTGCCTGCCGAGAAACTTATTCCTCCTTCCACGACTGCAAGAGAAGGAGCGAGAGGTGAGGGGATAATTGTGTGATTTAAGGTAATTTCAGCAGACTTTTTTCAGCAATGTGCTGAGCAATCACAACTCCTACTGAGTTCAATGGGGATGGAAAACCACTGGCCCTTCCCAGATAGTGCTCCACACTTGTCAGAATAGAGCTCAAAGGAATCATATTTATAGCAAGCTATTTTGAATGGCAGCAGTAAAGCAGCTGGAAAAGGCTAATGTACTTGCATCTGGCAGCAATTTTACCTGTATGTAAGACATTCAATCCCTTTTTAAAACAAACCATAGCATAGGCTAAAGATTGGAAGCTGCTTTTTTCAGTGCTGGCTTCAGCACTAGGTAATTTAGGAAATTATGATTTATCTTCACTGTGCAGTGGAGCAGAAATACTCCAGCCAGCCCCAGCACCAGCTGAGGGGATGAGCCTGATAATTTTGGTGCCATATCATGCCAACATAACGGTCACATACGAGACCTGTGATGGACCTCCATGCGGCCCCGCGGTACATGGCTATCTCAGGTTCCGGAGGGGCAACACAGGACCTTCACAAGCTCTTGGGTGGGCTGGTCACTGAAGGTCCTAGAGAACTCTAGAAAATGAGATTTAAGTGTCTACATCAGATACAAGTTTGCAGGATGGTTTCTCTGAGCAGCCCTATAGTACCGAGGAGCCCTCAAGGAAAACTGATGGACTCTTCTTCTCACCAGAAAGCTCTCAAAGGTAAAGCCCTATATCTGATGGGGGGTTGATATCAGTGTGAATGGGAAATTGGCTGAACCAAACTGTTTGCTGTGAGACTGTCTTAAGAAGTTTAAAATAATTTACCATGGAATAAAAAAAAGCAGAGCATGAACTGTGAAATACACGCCAATAATTCCTTAATCACTTACAGGCGTTTTTCTGGTGGACCAGCACCTGAAATGAACTTTGCTGTATCAAGTGGATTTATACTGCTCCTGTTGTATTTTTAGGTATTCAAGCTGATTAACATGACTTTGGGTTCTGCAATGGAAGCACGTTATAACTCAGACAAGCTCGCTTTAATCACTGCCTCAATAAAAAAACACTTCCAGGGAAAAGCTTTTAGAAAATCATTATCTTTGTCAGTTAAGTATTTTCCTGAGACTTTGGTTAAAATGTCTGTTTTTTATTTTGGAAGCATTTACTGTAAAATACTTCTAATGAATCACTATGCAGGGGAATATAGATAGACAATTTAGCGCTATAGTCAGAAGGAAACTAAATTTGTGAGCTCTCAGGAATGATCTTCCTGATAAGTCATAAGCAAGTTCAGCTTTCTGCACATTTGAGGGTTAATCTTCGCCAAGAGACCTCTGTCCATGGCATTGCCAGCCAGTACAGCAAAGCATTTAGTTGGGTCTGTTGGTAAGGAAACTGCATCGCTTCAAATGGAAAGGCTTACATGAAAAAATCATAAATGCAAAAGGAACATAAGATCATTTATCTTTTAAAATCTACTGGGTTTGTCTGTTGATTTCCCAACATATATAGGAAAACCTTCTTGGGGAGAGTGGCCTGCCTACTAGATAACATAAATTTCCTTATGTGCATGATCTTATGAACCCTATTACTTATGCTTTTTGTTCTGTATCTAGTTTGATTCTGCTTTCAACACCTTCTATTATCTCACATCAGATTAGAGAAGAACCTGCTGATAAATCACACTGGTACTTCAGCTGGCACCTAGTTGTTAAATTCTTTGCCAGTTCTTTGATGAGCCCTTTTTTCTTCAGAATTTAAACTTTGATTTCAACCAAAAAAGCTTTTGCCCTTATAGTTGTGAAGTAAAACCTTTCTAAACACAAAAGACTGCGGTGCTATCTTCCTGAATGTGCGTATAGCAAGGCAGAACCACTGGGCTACATTCAGCATTGATTTAAGTGGAGGGACAGGAGGGGAATTTCTTCTAGTGGTTCTTAGGGGGGGGTTAAGCTGACTTGAAACTGAACCTATACCTTGCTGTTACCAGCTCTTTGGGACATGAATTCTGTAGGGCTGCACTTCAGAAAAGGGTCTGTTTCCCAGTTTTGGTAAAATCTTTCATTAGACAGCACGAGTCGCTGTTTCTGAGGATCGCAGTTGCCTTGTATGGCAGAGGCTGTGGACAAAGATGCAAATAGAAGGAGAGATTCCCCAGCGTTGGCCTGCTGGATCAGACACTTTCATGGTTCGGAGGTCTAGGGGATGGTATGGCAGCTAGGAAGCAGAAAGGGGACCTGATGATTATGTTTCTTACTCTGAACCAGGTTCCTTTACCATTCAACAGCAGTCCAGGTGGACCCGTACTCTGAATGTGCCTTGCTAAAAGTCAGAGACAAATTAGGCATCGGATCTGGAGACTACAATATTTGTCCCTCCCCTCACCCTGATCAGAACTGGCAGAGATGTCTGTTGTCACTGCTTTGTTTTATTTTCACTTCCTCTGCAGCATAAGGTACATTCAGGATGGGCTGGCTGTACCTCATCTGCTGTTCCAGAGGCTCTAGTCATTAGTGGTCCATCTGTACTTTGTGCTCTCTGCTGTGAATGTGCAATGCTGCACGGTTTCTAGAGGATAACATCACATTTTTCAGCCAGAGCATGACTGTATCTGCAGCACAGATGCATTTCATGCAAAGATACCCCATCTGTCTTTCAGTGAGCTCACTTGCATATCAGCAGCCGTATAGTTGTGTTAGCCTGGTACCCCACCCGGGCTAACTCGCCCTGCTAGAAGATACATGTAATGACAACTGCCATATTAGTATACTACTTAGAGAGTGATGGGACTTTTCCAGAAAGTTATAGGAAGAAAAACTCTTCCATCCATAAAAGTCTTTTTCTCCCAGAAGGCCATTTAAAATCACAGGGCAGTCATCTGCTACAGTTCATTTCAGTGCAAATGTTGGAACAGACAAAACTGCATCCAAAACTATGGAGGAAGTATAAGAAAATTATACCACTGGTACTTGTACAAGTGTTATCCCACTCCTTCAATGTCCTCTAGTACAGACAGAGAAATATAGTACTATAACAAAACACATCCAAAGCCCCACAACAGATAGGTCATTAGCTGCCCTCCTCTATAATAATTTCACTTATATTGAATTCCAGATATCCTGATCCATCTCTAAGGTGAGGATGCTCCAGTTTTATCACTTAAAAATGAAGCAAGATTTATCTGTATTAGATTTACAGGCAGACTTTCTGAATGAGCATGTGCACTGACAACAGCTATGCTGAGATCTGAACTGGAGATTTTTCCAGTCCATCTTTCAGACAGCAGGATGACTTTTTAAGCACTTCCTTTACTGCTGAATACCACAAAGGCTCAGACAATCTATTGATGACGAAGGTCAGCACCTTCTTAGCAGCCCATAAAGTGAGTCTCTCACAATCAGGTTTCAGACTTTTTAAGATTCTAGCCATTTCTTTAGGCAATGAAGCAACCTAGTTCTTTCATCTTGCTATTTTTATTGTTTGAAAGCCTGAGTCACATCTGATCTTTTTTATTTTTAGTTTTCTTTTTGGAGAAAAAAAAAAAAAAAGCCCTTAATGTATCTTTTTTTGTTCAGTACTCTTATTTCTTTGTGATAGACATAAGTAATGGCTCATTCAGTGCAAAATCAGAACTTCTTACATTTTTCTTACTGTGATAAGGGCACACTTGCCATTATTACAGCTGCATTGTCCACATTGCTGCAGTAAAGGTTTTGTCAGCACTTCCACTCTAAACACTATTTTCACTCACTATATTTAACCTGTTTATAAAAATGATAATAATAAATTGGGGTCTGGGCTGAAATTTGGCAAGGGTAATTGTGGGTTTTTTGGTAGTAGTTTGCAGGGATTTAACCATATTATCCTAATTGCTCTTTGAGGCTGAAACTCACGCATTAATTGTTTATGTGGTGCTGAGTACAACAAAGCACTACTCCCATTAGGCTATAGACATAAGAGAAATATTAAACTGTATTAATAATTACTGTTCACAGTTACAGATAGCTGGTTCACTAGGCACACTTATGCAAAGACAGTAAGCTTAGGCTTACTGTTGTTCAAAGTAACACAACTCCAATTCCTTCTACTGCTCATAATAGCTTATGGAAGTTAAATAAAGTTGAAGGTAAATATGACAGAAACAGAATGTAAGAAACTAATCGTGGTTAAAATACTTAACGTGACTTTAAGGGTAATGTGCAAAAAGAAATAGGAAATATGATTAAAATAATCAAGAGAAGTTTTGACAAAGTATGTTAATAATGAGGTTGTCATTCCCTTCTTGAACAGTGTTTAAATGCAGGAAGGAAAGGATGGCCTGAAGATCGCTGTCATGTTTCCAGGAATCTAGGAGTCTTCTCTCAAATAGTCGGGCATTGATTGGGCAGAAGAGGAAAATAGATAAATCACTAGTCCCACTAATTTTGGATAGCCTTGTAGAGTAATGGGATCTGCTTCCTCTCCCTCCTGAACATTTTTTCTTCGTCATTCTATGGTTGGTCTGTCTTCTCTTTCCTGCTAGCCTTTCTTGAAGAAAGAGAGACTAGACAGCCATGGTCTTGTAGAGCCAGGCTGAGCGACTGTAGAGGCTGCTTCTCCCAGGTCAATCCTACCCTTCTCTTTTACTGCTGCAGCTCCTAGTGCATTTCTGTGCAAATTAAAACAGCTTAGGGTAAACAGATACACAGAAATATCTGGGATCTGAACTAATCCACTTCATTAGGCACTGAAGTGGGCTGGACATATATATCATGAGCTAGGAGTATGCAAATGTCAACCATGAGAGAGAGAGGAGAAAAAGAGGGGGGACAGGCACAGATGGGAAGTTCTACTCTTCCTGCCTTCTCCAGCAAAAGCCCATCATATGTATTTACTTGGTTTGTTGGCTTAGCCAAGACTGCCTGCTTGGACACACGGCTGCCAATCTATAACCAGCATTAAGGCAATCTTTTTAAGGTTTAAGGCAGCATCCTAAAAAGTTATTGTACTCACTGAAATGGGTGAGCCAATCTCACAAGACAGTTGAAACGAGACTCTTAATATTTTCCATTTCTTTGGGGCTTCTTCCCTTCCATATATTCTTTAAAGTATTATTTTAAAACTTCATATTATTGAGTATCACAGCAAAAAGTTAACTGCCCACAATTTAACACAAAATTAGGCACCTCAATTAACTATTTATTGCTGTAGAGATGCACAAAGATCTTATTAACAAATTGTTTGAATAAAATTAGAGCTGTAAAAGGACAGTAGGCTAACTACTACAATTATAACTCAAAATCAAGAAGGAACCAGAATCTTCCCCAGCAGCACATCTCAGGAGAGTGAGGCAAAGCAAATACAGAAAAGAAGCATCAGTGATCACAACCTGGAAGAAAGAAAAGGAAGATTCAGTACACGGTGTGGGCTCAGGATATGTGGTTGGTAACGAGTGTGACTAAGGAAAAATGGAGAGAGAGAAATTGAGGATGTTTTCTGCATATGTTTTTTAGGCACTGTGTAACTGTCTTCCTTACACTGCTTCCTAGTGAAATGCTTCCTCTAAAAGTGTGGGAGAAAAATACCGAGAGACAAAAGAGACAGCAGGGAAAGCATTTCAGCTCTGCGTAATGATGTCATCCTATTAGTACAAAGGCCCGCATTGTCAATTAGGA